GTTTCGGCCTGACATCGTGGTTAAGGACTGGTGAGCAGGGCTCAGGCCGCGCTCTGCGTCCTCCCCTCTTTCCTTTCTGGGAACACCCATAGGCAGTGCCCAGTCTGTGCCTGGCAGTGTCCTGGGGTCGGGGCTGCCCCCAGAGCCGGCCACCCTGGCCCTGCCGCTCCTGCCGGCGGACCTGGCGCTTGCTCATTCAGCGCTTCTGGGCCCTCCTGCCACCCTGCATCGGCACGTGTTAATTCCAGTTTACAGATGGGGAGACTGAGGCCCACAGATAAAGTGTCACCAAACAAGTACTGAAGCAGCAGAGACACCAGGACGCACCCTCCCCGGACTTTGCTCCACGCCTCCCACCTATCTGCCTTCCCTCCCCCTTCGCCCTGCACCCCTCAGCTCTTTCCCAGGCTCCTGCTCGGCACCCAGAGCTCTGCAGGACTCTGGCTTGGCCCAAAGCAGCAGGGGCAGGACCCCAATTCCAGCCAGGCCCTAGGCCGCCACTCAAAGCGCCACGGATGGGGCTGGAGGGGCATCCAGAGCTGCAGAGGGGTGGACAGCAGGGCTGAGCAGAGGGTGAGCTCCATACCAGCCCCTGTCACACAGGCCACCCCTTAAATCTCCCACCACGTCTCCAGTCTGATCCATGATAACGTACAGGTGACACAGCTCCCGCAGCCCAGGCCTTGATCCGTAAGGACCCTTTTGCTGTGTTAAAGGGACATCAGCAGAGGATACCCAAAAGGGATGCTGCTTTGCTCCACTGCCCCAAGGGCACAGTAGGGCCCAGGGAGCAGTGAAACCAGCGGGGCCTCAGGGGCAGAGCAGGGAAATCCAACTCAGAGCTCCAGTTTATGGGGCTGCCACCTCCCCCACCTCCAGGGCCACCTTCTGTCTTGGGGTGCACAGTCCTGAGCCCCACCCTCCCCCAGGTTCGCCGCCAGAGCAGACTGTGGCTGTACCTACCACATCCGTGTACAGCTGGCCTCAGCCGACTACATCGTCCTGGCCTCCTTCGAGCCCCCGCCCGTGACCATCGATCAATGGAACAATGCCAAGTGGACGGAGGTGAGGCCTCACCTGCTTGCCCTTCACCGCCTGCTTCTCTCAGGGCCACGAGGGCAAAGAAACAAGGGTCAGCCTCAGGGCACAGAAGGCCCCCAGCTCTCCTGCCTGGAGCCTGTGGCATCCAGCCCAGGGGGCTCTCCCCTGCAGGACCTGGCTCTTTCCTTCCCCTCTGCAGCGGGGTGGTCACCCCATCTCATCCCTTCCCCAATCCTGGCGATCACTTCTTCCTCTCCCCACCCCCCCAGGTCTCCTACACTTTCTCAGATTACCCTCCAGGCGTCCGCCACATCCTCTTCCAGCATGGGGGCAAGGACACCCAGTTCTGGGCAGGCTGGTATGGGCCCCGCGTCACCAACAGCAGCATCGTTATCAGCCCGAAGATGACTAGGAACCTGGCCCCCTGCACAGCTCTGCCTGAGACCACAGAGGGGTAGGAGAAGGTTGTCTGCCTGCCCTCCTTCCCTCACCTCAGAAGGCCCTTCTGACAGCCCGTCATTTGATAGCCATTCATCCGTCCTCTGTCTGGGCCAACTGACTGCCAAAGGTCTCCTCCAGCGGAGCATGTAGCCGGCAGCGAGGGCCCCTGCCCCTGGAGCTCCTGCCCCAGTTCCAACCTTGGGGAAACCCACCAGTTTGTGGGAGCCCCCAGTCATGTGCTCTGACATTTTCTCACAATAAATGTTTTCCGTAAAACCAGCCTGGGGTTGGGTTTACGGGTGGTGGTGGGGTCCCTGGCACTTTGGGAGAGAAGCAGCCCCTCCTCCCAAGTTAATTTGGCTGCTCCTGCCCCTCTGCAGTTAGTGACAGCCCAGCTCAGCCCTTGGGGCTCTTTATTGAAACAACTCACAGCACAGTATTTCAGACAGACAGTGTTGGCCGGCCACATCCCAGGAGGCCAAGAAATCAAGGTCCCGGCATCCTTCCCTGCCCTCCTGGGGAAAATTCCTCCATGAAGGCAACCAGACCTGAGTGGCGCCGGGCCGGAGAGTGGGTGGTCCATACACAGAGGCAATAAGAGCACTTGGAATCGGGGGGAGGGGGTGTCCCTCAGCACCGCCCTAGGCTGGGGGCCCCCAGTGTCCCATAGTTGTTACATCCATGATCGGAGCATCACACCCTCAGCTGCTTTTGTGAGCTCGCTCTTCCACGTAGAGCTGCATCTAGTGGACAGGAATAAACCGCCAAGGTCAGGAGCACAGCCAGGGCACATCCTCAGGAGGGCCCATAAGCCCCAGGCAGACAGATCCCTGCCAGCGGTGGGGCAGTGTGGCACAGCCACAGGTTAAGGGAAAGGGAGTTTGGAGCCTTACGCCAGGCATTCCCTGGTCATCTCCTCCGAGCCTTGAGCCATTAGCCTCAGCGTACCGTCTGTAAAGCTCCCCGGGTCCCCATGCAGCTCACCTTTAAAATGTCTGATGTCATCGTTTTTAGCGGTATCAGCCGGGGATCATGCATGTGGATGTCCTGCTCATCTGCCAGGATCCAGGGAAAGTCCTAGGGTGGGGACCAAGGGAAGCGGGTGGAAGGGGGCTGGGCCGTGGCCTGTCCTCACTTTGCTACCCACTCCCTCTCCAGCGCCGGGGTCCCCAGACTTCAGGGAACACCAGAGTCGCTAGGGAGCTACCAGCATTGCGGACTCCCGGCTTCCTCCACCTGAGAGGCCGAGCCCATGGATCCGAGCTGGCCGGGGCACCCAGGTGATTTAACGAGCCCCAGACACCATTTCAGAAACTGGCGGGTGAAGACCCCCCCCCCGCTGCCCTCTCTTGAGAGCCACCACTGAGCTGGCAGCCCCAGGACATGGCTCCACCCTCCTCTCAGTACTGGGTGCCCAGGCCGGGTAACGACCAGCATTCGGCCACACAGTTAACACACAACAAAAACCTGCCGCGTGCCAGGCACCGCCACCAACAATGTTGAGGGTGCGCGAACAGCAACACCCCGGCCCACTCAGAACTGTGGCATCTTGCTTTCAAAGCCTCCCGGCTGTCTCCCTGCCCTCCCTCCCAGACGGGTCTCCTCTCACCTTGATGACCTGAATCTTCTCCATGTTGCGGGTAGCAGCTTCTCTCGTGTGCACTAAGACTGTGAAGGTACAGCCTAAAGAAGCAAGAGTCCGGTCAAGGCTGGGCCACGTCACGCCTGCCACTGGGCACAGTCTCTTCCCCGCTCCCAGGCTGGCTCAACAGCCCCCCCAGGGGAGAAGAGTGTAAACCAAGTGCTAAGACAAGACACAGTCAATAGGGAAACTGAACCCCGGTGGAGTCCATCAGGGT